CAAGGGTGCGTTCGATTCTGTTGATCGATCAGTTCTGTTAACTACACTTGCTCAACAGGGTATGCTCCAGAAGCTTGCAAACATAATTGTTAGGACTACCTCCAAACGAACAAATCCATTTAACTAACGATTTGTCTTGTATATTAAAACCTTGTTTCTACATTTCAGCCTCTCACTGACATCCTATTGGACTGTTAGCTCTTTTTATATTCTGGTTCAGTTGAATTCATACCACCGAACGATCCACTTGTTTGCAGTATAACTTCCTCGAAGTTGTTCGTCTTCTCCATTTCGGTGATCTAACGTGTCTGACTGACAGCACATCAAAGAAGACATAACAATAATCCGATCCCTATATCCACGTCTGGGCGGGTAAGAGTGTACGGTGAGCTCTCTAAAAGCATCCCTACAAAAAGTGGTGTTAGACAAGTATGTCCACTCTCTCCATTATTACTCAACTTCGTCATTGATGAAATAACCAAGCGAACACTGGACAGTCTTCAAAATCCAGTGCTCAAGTTGTCGCTGGTTGGAGCCTTGTCGGTCTGGAGTACGCAGATGATATGGCCCTCATCGCTGAAGACCAAAGCGAAGCACAGGCCCTGTTGAATAAGCTGAACACCATCATCATCATCATGCTTCAGAACGTACCATCTGCGAACATATCCCTTACAGTTCAAGGAGAACCACTGGAGATTGTGGAAAACTTTACATACCTCGGTAGTTGTATTAGCTCTGACGGAAGTGTGTCTGATGAAGTCAGTGCAAGAACCCCAAAGGCTCGAATCACGTTTGCTAATTTGCGTCACTTGTGGCGTCAAAAAGGCATCTCACTGGATCTTAAGGGTCGTGTGTACCAGGCTACAGTAAGGGCTGTGTTGTTGTATGGAAGCGAGACATGGCCTCTGCTGGCAGATGATGTGAAGCGTCTTCGATTTTTCGACCACCGATGCCTCAAAAGCCTGGCTGGTTTTGGATGGCGCCAGCGCGTTAGTAACGAGATGATTAGAAATCAGGTATTTGGTTGTGCTGCACGTACTTCAATCCGGCAAACACCATCACCTAAGATGGTTCGGTCATGTGCTACGCATGCCGAAACACCGTCTACCGAGACGAGTGTTATTCTCCGTGCCTTCTTCAGGATGGCGCGAAACGCGAGATGGACAGCGCATGGGTAGCAAACGTTTCTCCTGTGGGTACTCCAGACACCCACGAACCTCACACTCAGCCAGAGAGGTCTTGTGTAGACTTTGAAGGGCAGGTGCGTTGTTTCAGAATTCGCCGTGAATACACAGCATGAACCTAAACTTCTTTTGTCTGCTAGCCGATGTGTGGTGTTCGTGCTGTCAGTTTCCAGATTATTTGACTGAGCCCCCGGAGGTGCAAGCACCTCAGAATGCTTGACATAGGCCAGCACTAGGTCCCCTTCCTTTACCCACTCTTCCCTTCTTTTAACTCTAGGGCCTTAAATATGATTAGACGAACCTTATGGTCGTACGGCAGTGAAGCATCAGTGTTGAACACCGATGTCATGCTGTCTGTGATGATGGTGATGACAATGATGGTGGTGACGATGATGGTGATGATGACAGAACACGAATTTACCGACAAAATATCCGTAGTTCAAAACGACCGCTGCATTCCAACTTCTGTCTAGGCTTGGGCAACCTGGTAGTATCCCAGCCCTGTTGTTTCTTTCAGGTGGCATGGCAGCTAGACACTGAAAGGGTGTTACAGCTGAACGATTATTATTTACTATTAAGAGCATCTCGATCGTATTGAATAATACGCCGCAGGGCGCAAACAAACGTTGAGTGATCGATGTGTGCGGGTTTTTGGCCGATTTTTTCTAACCCGTCCTGCTTCCATAAGTATGGACATGGTAGTCACCTGGGGGGACACCTTACTGCCTTCAAACTCCTATCACAGACGACAGTATGGCTTTACCTCCAGACCGCCTCGCAATACGATTGTTCGCAGTATGGAGACTCGATGTTCCTCGTTGGGTTGCTCTTCGGTGGCCCTCCTGGCATGGGTAACCTTATAAGAACTAAATGGCATCTAGTATGGACCAGAGGGTCATTGCAGCACAAAGCCCGACCACCACAGCGTGACAGTTTTAGGCTTAGACTCTGACCTAAACGACCGAAATGATGCCACCTGGGCGCCACAAACGCTGCCCTGGCCTTCCTGACTGGAAAAGTGATTTCATCATCCGCCAGACCATAGGGATTTAAGCAGCTGTCTAGAGAGATGAATTTATCTACTAAATCAACCACATCGACGCAATACGTTTGTGTCCGACCAAACCTGGACCCGCAGTAGTCTAATAAGACATAATAATCGTTCAGCTGCAACACCCTTTTGGTGCCATGCCTCAGCTGGAGGCACGGGGGCTAAAATGCTATCAATTTGCACAAACCTAGACAAGAGCAGTCGATCCTTCGGGGTTAGTTTCAAACCGATCAGTAGGCTTCAGCCTCAAACACAGATATCTCGTGCAGTAGCATATTACACCTCGCGGGTGCGAAAGGTACGGCGAAACATTAAGCAGAATTACTTGGGTTAGTTAAAATTGTCTGAATAGTACAGTCAAGTTGCTCAATGTACGCGAGCGAGCACCCTTGTATGTATGGGGCAGTCAAAGAAAATTCAAACAGCACCCAGAATGTGAAATCGAAGAGAAATAAATAAGAGATGGCATGTTTTTCTGACACCGCTGGACGTAATGAACTCACAAAAGAATTTGGAGTGGACAAGTATGAGTCTACTGCAAGCACACACCACATAAGACAAATTAGAAGGAACACCCTTCATTGCTAGACACCGTCCTAGTTTCTGACGAACAGAGTCAGAGGATTTCAAACGAATATTCTTGGTCAACAGAAATAGTGGCGCAGGTCCAACACTTGTCGCATTGTGGAGGACGGTCATAAGACTGATCGTACGGCCATTTGATGAGAATGATTGTGAGTGTCCTATTCTACAGACACTAACCTACTCACTCCATATAGCCCCATATAGCCCAAACAGTTTCTCAGGTAGCTAACCCAGGATCATTCGAGTTATTTAAAGAACACTGGATACAAACCGCCTGAACCGACACATCCTGGCAGAAGTAATTAGTACTTCATCTCTTCTGGCAAGTAATTAAGGTTCGCATCCCATTCGCTTATACGCACTGTCTCCGTGGGCCGTGTTGCATGAGGCCAGCGATGCCGTTCTCCGTTGCTAATCCCATGTTCCCGAACAACGCTCCGGAGAAACCGATTTCCAAAAGCTGATAATTTTCTTATGTCCTGCTGTCGACGTTCCATTTAGGCCCGATGAGTTTTCCCAGAGGTCATGCTGAAGGAGACCAGCTGAATTGTTCTTCGAAACGCTCAGCCCACCGCTCAAGATGACGACCGAGGAGTGAACTGCCGTCCCATCTTTCTCGCATATTGTCCCACTGACACCCGTCTTCTTTTGGCCGGCTGATCGAATCGGCGGAAATGGGGCGCGGCTGTTGCCTGCAGCAAGAGTTCATCTCCTGGACCTTCGAAATCCACCAGCGTTCTTTGTCATTCTTCAGGCTATTGATAATCCGGTGTTTGAGAGATCTGCGTGAGTCATCACAGTCGCTTATCGCCAGTAGGACTTTCTGGCAGCAATAAGACCTGCTGGTCTCGAAGATATCCACCGTTCGTTTAGTCGTGTCAAACAATGTTGGGTGGCCAGGGTATGCGGGTTTCGGGCCGACCTTTTCTAACCCGTCCTTCCTCAGGGGAAAGCAGAATCGCTGCTTCCACGAGAAAACCATTTAGCTGTAACACCGTTTCGGTGCCTAGCCGCCATGCCACCCGAAGAAAGCACGAGTGCTGGGATACTGCCAGTTTGCCCAAACCTAGACGGGAGGAAGTCGAGATGCAGAGGTCGGGTTTGAACCACGGCCAGTAAATTCGGGCTTCAACTACTGAGCCATCTCGCCCATCTTCCACAAATTTGGACATGTTGGTCACCTGAAGGAAACGCCTAACTGCATCCCACTCCCATCGCAGAGGATAGAACAACCCCACCGTCAGATCGCCTCGTAATACAATTACTCGCAGTACTGTGGCTCACTGTTCCTCGTCGGGTTGCTCACCAGTGGTTCTCCTGGCATAGGTAAACATTTAAGAACTGAGTAGCATCCATTATAAACCGAAGAATCATTGCAGCACAGAAGCCAGTCTTTGGTCAGGCCTCCGTGAATGGTACGCGAGCATTCTCCAGTACAGCTGTCTGTCAGTGGTATACGCAAACCATGAAACAAGGATATGTTCACCTCTTAGCGACGGGTGTCGCTCTCCATGACCTGTGTGGTGAGCGTCAATCGCGAATCGGCTGCCAAGATAAGTTTACTTTCCACCACCACCACCAGACAGCAACATCAGTGTAACCACTGATGTTTCACTGCCGTACAACCATAAGGTTCGCCTAGTTATATATATA